TACTTTATGGTGTTGGTTGATGCATTGACACGATGCTTACATATTTGCCTGTTGTCCACACACAACGCTGCGTTTGCTAAATTCCTAGCTTAAATTATTAAGCTAAGGGCTCACCACCCTGATTATCCGATTAAGTCGATTCGACTGGATAACGCTAGAGAGTTTACATCACAAACTTTTGACGATTATTGCATGTCAGTAAGGATTGATGTGGAACATCCTGTACCCTATGGTCACACCCAAAACGGCCTATCAGAAGCTTTCATAAAGTGTATTTAATTGATAGCTTGGACTTTGGTTATGAGAACCAAACTACCAGTATCTGCCTGGGGCTATGCAATATTGCATGCAGTTATGTTGGTCAGCCTGAAGCCCACCGCTACCCAACCATATTCACCGTTACAGTTAGTAACTGGATACGAGCTTGACGTCTCGCATTTACGGGTGTTTAGGAGCACCATTTATGTGCCAATATTGCTGCCACTACGTACCAAAATGGGTCCTCAGAGAAAAATAGGAATCTATGTCGTTTATGATTCGCCATCAATAGTTCGCTGCTTAGAACCCTTGACATGAGATCTCTTTACCGCACGTTTTGCAGATTATCACTTTGATGAGGTAGTCTTCCCGTTGTTAAAGGGAAATAGGCATGCTAACATTTGGACTCTAGATGTTAAACGAAATCCCTTCCATCCAAAGGAGGATGAGGAAGAGATTTTGGAACCCGAAGTTCCATACATAATTGCAATTGGGGCTTTATTGTACTTGGCTTAGTGCACTAAACCCGACATCTTCTTCGCTGTTTGTCACATCCCGGCCCGAGGCGCACCACTTCCCGGGCCCGCTCCACCACCGTAGCACGATATTGTCCGCTTTGGGCCCCGACCACGCCCTCACGGTTTTGTTTTTGGGAACTCACACGAGAACTTCCCAATGGGTCACCCATCCTGGGAGTGCTCTCGTGCGCTACTCGCTTAACTTCGGAGTTCCCATGGAACCCGAAGCCAGTGAGCTCCCAAAAGGCCTCGTGCTAGGTAAGGATGGGAATATGCATTTAAGGATCACTCCTCTGGGTGATGTGGGATGTTACAATCCATCCCCCTTAGGGGCCCGACGTCCTCGTCGGCACACCACCGCCAGGGTTAGGCTCTGATACCAAATCTGACACGCCCCGACCCCGATATTCCCCGAATACCAGGATAGGCACGTGCTGGCCGACACCCGAGGGTGACGAAAGCCATTTATTGAGTGCAAATGCTGAAAACAATGGGTAAATAAGGTTTATAAATATAAAAGAATAATGAATATGCAAATAAGGACCGTGTTCAGAGCACACCACTAATCTAGAACACTAAAAGAAAATAATATAAAATTGAATGAAACAAAGAAGTGGGTCCTACACCGAGAGGACTCGAAGATGCCGATGCGGAAGTGCCTGGACGTCGGGATTGTATGCCTCGATTCTAAGTCCTGAAGGGGGCGCAAAACAAACATGAGTGGACCAAGTTGATATATATATAATAAAACAATTATCAACATACTAACCCCCAAGTTTTATGAAAACACATATATATAATGATAAACATAGGTTTTCCGAAACCTAGCATGTCGTGCAATGTCTCAAATCATAATTCGCATAAATAATAAACACTAGTGAATGTCCGATATAACTCTTCAGGCCCCATGCCGGCTCCCCGTCTCTGAGCACACAGTCAGAGGAAAATACACTTCAGGCCCCTTGCCGGCTCCCCGTCTCTGAGCAGACAGTCAGAGGAAAACACACTCCAGGCCCTATGCCAACACCAAACCGTCGCCCGGGACGGACCGGATCTATCCCTACGTCCCGTAGCGGAAAGGACCACTAGGTAAGTACAAAACCAGTGAACATACATATATTGAAAATCAACTTCATAGTATAAAGTCATCCATCATCTATACTATAAAGAGGTGTTCTAAACATGTTCTAAATATCATATCGTCATCCATCAGATATTCTACAAGAACATGGGTTATAGGAAAAATAGTAATAATTCAAACTAGCCTTAGTAAGCATATTATCTCGTAAAACGTTCATAAAACATAATCGTAAAGTCATGCTTTTCTGTGTATGCAATTCTACCATTAAAACATGCATTTTTAGAAGGGGTCCACTCACAGTACTTCGCCGTCGAAAAGCCACGCCATCTAGCGAAGAAGGAAACGTCATAGATAATCGCCCCTAAGCACATAAAGGGTACATTTAGTCAAACTCTACTCAAACGATTGAATTTGGGAAAACGGACATCGGAAACGGGTTCAGAACGTCGAAATTAGCCTAGGAGGGGTCCCGCACGAAAACCCAAAAAGTCAACCCCAAGGTCAAAGTTGACTTTGACCGTTGACTTTGACCTTGGGGTTGACTTTTTGGGTTTTCGTGCGGGACCCCTCCTAGGCTAATTTCGACGTTCTGAACCCGTTTCCGATGTCCGTTTTCCCAAATTCAATCGTTTGAGTAGAGTTTGACTAAATGTACCCTTTATGTGCTTAGGGGCGATTATCTATGACGTTTCCTTCTTCGCTAGATGGCGTGGCTTTTCGACGGCGAAGTACTGTGAGTGGACCCCTTCTAAAAATGCATGTTTTAATGGTAGAATTGCATACACAGAAAAGCATGACTTTACGATTATGTTTTATGAACGTTTTACGAGATAATATGCTTACTAAGGCTAGTTTGAATTATTACTATTTTTCCTATAACCCATGTTCTTGTAGAATATCTGATGGATGACGATATGATATTTAGAACATGTTTAGAACACCTCTTTATAGTATAGATGATGGATGACTTTATACTATGAAGTTGATTTTCAATATATGTATGTTCACTGGTTTTGTACTTACCTAGTGGTCCTTTCCGCTACGGGACGTAGGGATAGATCCGGTCCGTCCCGGGCGACGGTTTGGTGTTGGCATAGGGCCTGGAGTGTGTTTTCCTCTGACTGTCTGCTCAGAGACGGGGAGCCGGCAAGGGGCCTGAAGTGTATTTTCCTCTGACTGTGTGCTCAGAGACGGGGAGCCGGCATGGGGCCTGAAGAGTTATATCGGACATTCACTAGTGTTTATTATTTATGCGAATTATGATTTGAGACATTGCACGACATGCTAGGTTTCGGAAAACCTATGTTTATCATTATATATATGTGTTTTCATAAAACTTGGGGGTTAGTATGTTGATAATTGTTTTATTATATATATATCAACTTGGTCCACTCATGTTTGTTTTGCGCCCCCTTCAGGACTTAGAATCGAGGCATACAATCCCGACGTCCAGGCACTTCCGCATCGGCATCTTCGAGTCCTCTCGGTGTAGGACCCACTTCTTTGTTTCATTCAATTTTATATTATTTTCTTTTAGTGTTCTAGATTAGTGGTGTGCTCTGAACACGGTCCTTATTTGCATATTCATTATTCTTTTATATTTATAAACCTTATTTACCCATTGTTTTCAGCATTTGCACTCAATAAATGGCTTTCGTCACCCTCGGGTGTCGGCCAGCACGTGCCTATCCTGGTATTCGGGGAATATCGGGGTCGGGGCGTGTCACTGTTAATCTTTTGGCAAGATACAGCAATGCGCCCACACACAGGCGCTAGAATGGTGTTAAAGACATTTTCCACTACCTCAAGGGTCCTATGGATTTAGGCTTGTTCTATACCCGCGAATCTTCGAGTGTTAACGCTCCTTATGGTTCTCAAATTGATTCTTGCCTTGTTGGTTACGTAGAGGATGGATACCTATCTGTCCCACATAGGACACATTCTCAAATGAGTTATGTCTTTACCGTTGGAGACATCGCTATATCTTGGAGGTCTACCAAGGAAACGCTAGTTGTGACTTCATCGAACCATGATAAGATTCTCACCTTACATGAAGCATCGCATGAATGCTTTTGGCTGAGAAAAGTTATGGAACATATTCGAAACACTAATGGTCTTACATCAGTCGTTGACCTTCCTACGATGATCTTAGAAGACAATGCAACATGTATCGAGCAGTTAAAGAAATGATACATCAAGGGAGACAACACCAAGCATATAACGCCGAAGTTCTTTTCCTCACACCAACAACAGTAGCATCAGAACATTGAAGTCAAGCAAATCCATTCCCAGGACAACCTGGCCGATCTCTTCACCAAGTTGTTGCCAAAGTTTAATTTTCAAAAGCTCGTCCAAGGAATCGGTATGCGTAAATTATTTGAGTTGAATCACTTGTAGTTCTCTTATTTAAAAGTTATGTCTAACTCATGGGGAGTATCTAGATGCATACTCACATGATCTTAATGTGCTCTTTTTCCTACGATTAGGAGCATTTTTCTCACTACATAACGAGGTTTTAACGAGGCACCCATCATGGGATGATCATACTTCGTTGAGTTCACTACTTTCGTCCTATTTGACGTTTGTTTTAGACATTATGCATACTTCTCACTTTTTTCCTTAGTTTATGGGTTTTCCCCATGCCTTGGGTTTTACCATAGCGAGATTTTATGAGTTTTACTACAAATGCATACTTTCTTAAATTTGAGACTTGCACTCACCCGTTGTGTCAATGACTTCATCAACTATTCTATCGTATCTGCTGAAGATCTGATGTGATGGTTTGTTGAGTATTTACACACTCAAGGGGGAGTGTTGCAGTCATATTTATAATAGGAATGTGATTGTGTAAATCCTAGAAGATATGAGAATGTATTTTATATTCTTATAAGGATTTGATTACCTATTAAATTTTGTAATCCTAAAAGGAAAAGTTTTTGCATATCCTATTATTATAAATAAAGGCACAATGAGGTGATACAAACACACCTCACAATTAAATCACTCTCTCCTCTCTCTAATTGCCACCGACCCTCTCTCTCTAAACCCTAAGATTGTTGAATCAAATAGGTCTACAACATAGACACACGTATATAAAATCAATTATTAATATCACCCAGCACAAAAAATAATTATTGTGCCCAATAATAAAGTGAAGTTATGAAACTAACCGACTCCCCTCTCCCCTTCTTTCCCTTTCTTTTTGAGACAGACCTCCCAACTCCTCTCCCTTCCCTTCTTTCTCTCCTCTCCTTCTTTCCCTCACCTCGTTCGCGCAACAGCGCCGCTGTACACCGGTCATCAACGATCGTAAAATTGTACCTCCAGAATCCTTTTCGATCCTCTCCTCCTGGGCTGTCCTCCAACGTAAGTGATTTTTCAAAATAAAAACTTTCAGTTTTGGGATCTAATGATTTCAAAAATATTTGAATTTATAGTGGCCATCTGTATGTGTATTTATTTATTTATTGTGTCTTGAACCTAGAAACCTGATTTTGTTCTAGAATTTTGGAATTTGAATTTGGTTATTGGGCAGTTGAAGCCAATTTTGTTTTTTTGTTCTATTCGGCGAAACTTCGGTTTTGAGATTAGTATCTGGCAAATGTAGTAATTTGGTTTTTGTTTCTGGAAATGTTGGCGCATCCACAGGAACCTCCGTTCCAAAACTCATATTTATAATAGGAGAATCTTGTCGTGTAGATCTTGCCAATGGTTGGAAGAAAGCTTCTTTTTAGGTTCATTCATCATATATCTATTTATTTTTCAACTTCATTCTTCAGACTCTGTTTGTTTTTCAGGTTCAGTTGGAGAAATGGCTCCTGCTATTTCTGGTGTGCTGATAGGTCCACAGCACATAGTCTATTTAAGGCTCTTGCGGGTGAGAGGGCATACTCTGAGGACTTATGTTGATGAACTTCTGTTATTTTACTAACTTTAGATGTTCGAATTAAGGCTTCTGATAACCATGACAAGTAGAGCAATTAATTGATATACTTATGATCATCAGCTTCAACTAGATTATAAAATTTCATTTGCATGCTTTTAATGTCCATGTGTACGGTTGTTTCAGGTATTACATTTTCATTATAGGTTTATGTGCATGCCTGTTAAATTCTCAAAGTAATTCTCCTTATTGTTCTAGGAAGCTCAAGTTGAACTAGTCTTGTTTATGTAGGATTCACGAAGGAAGAAAATCATACCAGACATGACAAAGTCCAAACCTTTATGAGGAGAGAATTTTTTGCAATAGTTCCAGCAGGAAGCACCAAAGCGGCCTGTCCTAAAATGGGAGAACAACATGGCATGGCCAGGAAAAGTTGCATTAACTGATAAATCTATTTAATTTGAGGTAACTAATCTATTCGTAGAGGTGTACTTTTACCTTCATGTTATTCCTCATACTTGTAAGCGGTTAATCTACCATTAATACTTTTGGTTTTTGATTTCTAGAAGTATATACAACATTACTAGAGGTCTTATTAATGTTGGAAGATATTTTTTTTCCGGAAATGATATTTACTAAATTTTTTTCTTCTTTTCCAGGAAGAGGATGAAAATCCTTATACGGTTATGGTTCCTCGTGTCGATTCGGATTTGCTTCCTTTTGTTATTAAGGTACATTGGACATTTAGTTGTTCCAATAGAAAAATGCTCACTCTTTTTGTCGGAGCAAATGAAACTCTTATTGTTATCAGATATGTGTAAAGCTATTCAATTTTCTGTTTATTGGATATGTTGATAGGAAAATCTCATTTTTTGTTGTCTTTTCTTGAACACTTGGAAGCATGTTTTTTATGAATATTTGTGCGGCTTCATTATTGACATTCCATTTCTATTGTTTGATTGCTTCTTAAAGCTGAGACAAGTCCCGTGACCAGGTACTCCTAATTTATTCTGCCTTTTCCTATTTGCTATTCCTATTCAATTGGAGTAGTTATAACGATGAATTGAATTGAATTGGGTAGAAACAAACCCATTAGATTAAAGAAGTTGAACACTACTCATTGTTTATAGGGTTGTAAATAGATTTCCACATGTATATTAGTATGGCTTATCATATATATATTTAACACTTTCTACGTCTTTTATGCAGTTTCAAAACCCACAGCACTGCGTGGGCACTCTTGCTAGTATAAACTTATTCGTCTAAGACTCTAATGAAAGATTTTCAGTCTCATTTTGGAGTTTGGTGTTGTGAACCCTTTTGTACATACAAGGTTTAAATATATATATATATATATATATATGTTTATATGCAGGTGGCATGAAGGTGAAAGTTGCCAGAGACGAGTGTTCCCCATATGCTGCCATGCTTGCAGCAGATGTTTCACAGAGATGAAAGGTGTTGCTCTGTTTTCAATATATTGTTCTTAGCTCTTCGTGTTTTCTTTTGACTGTTCTGTAAAAGATCTGTTTTTCAATTCAGAAACAAGTTCTGGGACTCTTTAAAAGTTATATGCAATAAGGGATTGTGGTTAAGTGAGCTTCATTGCATGAAGAACTTGGGTTCAACGCCTGTAGTGGGAGGATGGGATTCTGAAGGACTTGGTTGTTAATTACGTAGGATTTGTCGAAAATTATGGGGGATTTGTTGTAAATTATGTGTGATTTTATGAAAATTTTAAATTTTTTGTTTTATTTCAACTTTTTACATTTTTTTTTTAAAACATAACCTATTTGGCACGATTTGAAAAGTGTGTTCTATATGGTTGGGTCTGTCATCTGGGATAGCTGTCAGAATTATGACACAAATAGGCAGCCTATTGTGCCAACCTTTTGAGCACCAATTGCCAAATTGTGCCCAATAACCAATGGCCACGCTCATAGAGGGCACATATAAGTTTTTGGTTACTGCATTGTTGCTGTTGCTCTATGAGCATATATGTTGGTGCACTTTGGCATCATAGGGTGCAAATAACTTACTGTGCACAATGCCCATATTTTTTGTAGTGCTTCCCCTACACATGTTGTTGAGGGTTTAAATGATAACAATGAAGCGGCTTCCACACACGTTTTGGATACTCCCGGTTCCTTCTCACGATCATTTGGCTAGTCACTTGGCTAAGGCAAGTTTGGTTAGTAATGATACCATCTCGGGTGCGAGAGGTTTGAATGAGGCTTCTCCCTCACATTTTGTGGAGGGTTTAGTTGATGACAATGATACAACCTCCAAACAGGTTTCGGATTCTCAGAATGATTCTCCCATTAGAGGTGTTCAGGTAAACTCTTCTATTGTGTTCTCTGGGAGAAATAGTGCTAGTAATTCAATTCAAGCTGGTTTTCCAGTTCAGGTGGCGCGTCATCCTTTATCACCTCAAGTTCGTTCTGAAATAAAAAATGCTATTTTTACCATCTATTTGTACCATCACTTGTACCATCTTTTTAATAGAGATGGGATCCACATGAGTTGGTGGGCCTTACTTCTATTAGAGAGATGGTACAACTAAATGGTAAGTATAGCACTACTCTCCTGAAATACAAAAAGTCAATGATTGGTACACTACGGTGGAGGAAGATGCTTTTTAAGTAATGTTGATGAGCATGGAAACAATGATTTAGATCGAGCAAATAATATTTCTAACCAAGTTGAGGATGATATGACTTTGGTGATTTCAAAATCTCAAAAGAGAAAATTACGGAATAATAACGAGAATCTGGTTGATTCTCTTAATTTTGGTTTTATGAAGAATTTAGTGGAAGAGCTTTACGTTCTTCATTCTGTTGGCTTTCATGAACGTCCTACGAAGGCTCCAAAAATTATTGAGGTGTCAGCATTCATGGACATCCTGCAAAGGCTCCAAAATTATTGAGGTGTTCGCTTTCTCTTTTCATCTTCGTCTTCTTTGACGACGGTGCCTTGGTGGCTTTTAGTTCGTTAGCATAATTGTGGAGTTTTATTATCTTCTATGCAAGTTCATCTTTCTCTTAATTTTAAAGAGGGTAATCAAGTTGCTGATTGTCTAGCCTTTTATGGTATTGATCACCTTGGTGTTCATTTGTTGGATTCATGCCCTCCTTTTTGCATCTACTTACTCTCCAAATTGTTCAGCTTCCTTGTTATACGTTATGTTAGAAGTAGTTTTGGGTGGTTGTTCATGGCTTTTTTAAGGTTAGGGTTAGGCTTCATATCCCTCTTGACATTTGTATTTTTGTTGTTGTTTTTAATCAATTTACCTTATAGTCTCTTTTCATAATAGCAATGCTAGAGTATGATTGACTTTGCAATTTTTTAGTCAAATAATAATAATAATAATAATAATTCTTGAGCCATATATGACACTAGCATATACCTACATATTTTGTGTGTGTTAATATTTTTTATTTTGTTTTTTGTTTTTAAAATGGGAATGAGGGATGGAGAGAGGGAGCGTGGGAGTGGGAGTGGGAGTGTTAGTGAGAGTGAGAGCGGGAGTGGAAAGAGAGGTTTTTATTTTTATTTTATTTTTATTTTTATTTTTATTTTAATATTACATATATGTTAAAATCACCTGTGAGGCTTCAATAATAAAACAACAAAATTTGGTTTGTAAAATTACATTATTGCCCATCATTTTATTATTATTATTATTATTATTATTATTATTATTTTGTAATAGAAGACTAAATAGTCTTTATACCCTCTTTTGATTGATAAAGAAGGTTCTATTAATAGGTAGTTTAGATATATAAGGTTATAGAGCCCCCTTCAATTGAGGATCCCTTAATTATGTAATGCAAGACTCAGGAGTGGAGTCTATGTAAGTGTGGTAGTTAAGCATCTTGTTCGATTCTTGTCTTCCGTAATTGAAAGAAGTTGAGGTTTCACTTTATAGTTATTAGTGGTAATAGGGGAAATAGTCCAACCCTTTATAAGCGCATGCAAGATTCTTTAAGTTTCAGATGTGAGATAACACTTCACATTCTCATACGCCCAATCACGTGTAGCAACATTGAAGGAATTTGAGGTTTCACCCAAAAATTAATTGGCAATAAGGAGAGTAGCCTAACCGTTTATAAGAACATGCAAGTTCCATTAACTTTCCGATGTAGGAAGAGAGTTCACATCCTCACATGTCCCTTTACGTGTAGCAACACTCAAGCTAAACGTGTAAATTCTAAAACTTTTTTGGCAAATAGGCACTCTAATAATATGAAGGAAGTTGTCGGGCAACCCTAAATTTTTTGGCCAAATATACATAGGGAGTAACTTAGCTCCTTGTAAGCACATGCAAGATTTTTTAACTTTCCAATGTGAGAACTCTTCACATCTCATAACAATTTTTTAATTATCTCAAGAAAAATGAATATTATATAAATTGAAATGTACGTAACTCGTGTGTATAAACTATTTTAACAGGCACATGCTCCTGCCGATTAGTAGTTTTCACCATCTTTTTGAAAAGCCTATCTAACCTTGGATGCGAATTTCTTTCTTACTTTTTCAGTAGATTGATCGTGTTTTAGTGCAGTCGCGAATTAAGCATTTGCATGCTGATACCTTAATAAATATCCAAAAGTGTGGAAAACTTAAAAGTTAGTAATTTATAAGGAAGCCAACAGAGCGTGCATGGCATTACGCTGATACCTTAATCAGTCCATTTAATTTCGATGGCTTGCAGATCAAGATTTTGCTGCACAAGAAACAGGACATATTTAGGTCTCCGGTTTAATCTCTCTCACACACACAGAAGCATGCATGTCATGAGCCCATTACCAAGGGCAAGCATGTTAAATTCAAAACCTACTTGATCACACTGCCATGTCCAATTGTCCATGATGAATTGCTTGTGGTTTACGAAGAAATTCAAGAGACGTAGGACTTGGAGTCTAAGACTTCAATGCCTATATAAAGATCAAAGATATATGAAAAGAGGTCTAAAATTATTATAGATTCTTTTGAATTCATTTCAACCGTTCACTAACTTAAGTGTCTGAGTGTCTTTTGCAAGTAACCATGAAAGTCACTGGCATTTCCTTTCGTATAAAGCCATCATATGAACAAAATGACCAAGCCCATGACAACTAACAGGCTTTGCTTCTACTGTTCAAAGACCAGAGCCATACTTTAGATTGGATGTTTGGTTTTTTTTTTTTTTTTTTTTTTGACCTTCAAATTAAAAATAAATAAATAATTAATTAAGAGGCATAAATAAATAGAGGTGTGTGAAAACTCTCTCTCTTGTCAAATACAAAAATATTGTTTATGGATTAGGATGTTTAGGCACACTTGATTAGGGTGACCTGGCAAACAGCAACAACTAAAAAAAATCACATTGTTATGAAATTTTCAATGTTAATATATATGCACATACCCACCTAATTAACCTTGCAATACTACTAATATTGATTTAAATAAAAGAGAAACTTACATCCAAGAGGTTATATATAACTCTCGTAAAAACAAGTCATAGAGACAGAAAAAATGTTGTATGTAGTTTATTGCAGGTAAGTTATTGGCTCAAATCATATTCAATGCAATGTAATTATCCAAATCCAAATCTAGTATTGTTTGTATATCTATATACCATATAAATGTGCCTACTAACTGGTCACAAGCAACCATGAAAAAAAAAAAAAAAATGAACTTTAACTAAAAACTCCTGATATAGTTCACTTTAACGAAAAACTATATTTTTACACTAAAAAGTCAATCTTGGTACTATTCACTTTACCCTTTATTTTGTCATTATCGTTAAAAACTTAAAATTTTCAAGTCATTTTCATTAATTTTCCTTAAAAAAAAAAAAAAAAAAAAAAAAAAGGTGGAAGGCAGTTGAGGTCTTCCCTCCATTAGCAAATGCCTAGGACTATTATAGGAGAGACAAAGCGCCACCTTCGCTGGCATGGCAAGAAATTGTAAGTACGTGGCATTGAATGTTGAAAGCTATCTACCTCTGGTACTTTCTGTTATTACCCCAAGGGGAGACAATGAGCCACCCTCACATTAATATAAAGTTTTGGATGCTTATAATTGCCACCTTCATAAGAAACCTCTCGGAATCCATGTTACTTTCTTCAGGGGATCCACAATTTAACTGCCACTCTTTACTTCTGTATTGTCACTGAAAAAACCCAGAAAATAAGACAACTACTGAACCATGATAAGCTTCTCTCAACCCTACTTAATTACACTTCTGCAATTTTCTTCTGATATTTATTTCTCTGTGTGGTTGGCTACCCAGACACATATAATGTTCGGTCCCACGTGAATAGTTCAACGTAAAAGTTAACCGGTTTGCGGTTGTAAAACTTGTTCATAAAATTTATAACTCCAAATCTCGTCTAACAAAATTAAGACTGGGTACCGCATGACAAACCAGTTGAGGCAAAACTAATTAAGCAATTTAGAATCATGCAAGTTCTTTATGGCCATATGTATACTATCCCGATAGTTCATCGGTTGGCATTCCATGCGTATTTATATTATATCATTATTTCCAGCTCAACGAATTTGGCACAATCGAAGTGGAAAATACTTCCAAAACAGGAAAGGAAAAACTGCATGTAGAAGTGACCACCAAAGAAATGATGGCATTATTCTGCTATGGTCCACGCAGGGATCCAGAGGATGTGAAAGAGGCCCAGTACTCTCTCTCTCCCTGTTCTAAAACACTACTGCAGTTAACCACTTCCACCCACTTCTCTTCCAAGTCAAAACGGAATTTGAAGAAGTACTTCTATTCCATCATTTCGTATTAATTTGTTTTAGTTTATTTATCAATGGTATTGAATCGGTCAAGCTTAATGTTGGATATATGTCAACAATATGTGATATAATTATGTATGCTAATAAATAATAAATGCAAATAGAAAAATAAACAGAGTATGAACAAAACAAAAATATAAAATAGACAACTTGAAAATCGAGGTTTGCGTACCGCAATATCTTTGAAACAGAAAATTTGTCATGTTTGCTTCACCAGGATTCAACTATCAAGTTAGAATTCCAGCACCGGAAAACTTAACTTCTGGCGAATTTCTGTGTGGTTCTCTCAGTAACAAGGTTTAGGAATGTAGAAGAAGAATTTGATATTTTCTGTGTTCTAAATGTCATGCAGATGGATGTATATATAGTGGGATTATGCATGTTTGCAACAGGTATGAGGATGAGATGTGACTGTTGGGAGACATCTCTTCAGAGGGGTGCTATGCTCTCTACGTTTTTTGTTTTCAGATGAAACTTCATCTAAAAAGATGAGTCTGTTCAAATAAAAAATTATTTAATTAAATTCAAAATTAATTAAAGAATTTAATTTTCAGACTTCATCTGCCCAAGACCCATCTTTTGATAATTAATTATATATAAGGAACAAAGCCTTACAAAGTGAGAAAATCTTTTGGGAATTGTCAATATGGGACAATGAAATTTCTACTCAAAATTTCCGACACTTGAGAAACATGGTCCTTTGATATACGGAGTATAGGTCAGATGACCAACTACTTCAATGTCAGAATTCACCACACGACTTAATGGATCATGGGTTTAATACTCAAACAAAGAAAGCAAGAGTATCTAAATGAGCTCTTAAAAATTTAGGGAGAAGTAAAGAAAATCAACTCCTTATTTAACTAGAGATGTAAATAAGCCTCGACAAGCCGAGTATCAAAGTGCTCTTGTTCGAGTTCAAGATCTGCTCGAGCGCAAATAAAGCTAGTTGTGCTCAAGCTTCGCTCAAAGGATTTTTTTTTTTTTGCAAACTTGAACTCAGCTTTGCTTGACTTGTACGTGGATTAGGTTGGAGCTTATGGTTGGCTGAGCTCATAGTGTTTTTGAAACGAGCACGAACATAAGTTTGATCCGACTTAAATGAAAATTTAAAATTACTAAAAATACAAAAAAAAACAAAAGAACATATATAATAGGATATGTTCTAATGATATATGTATATTAATTGAGAGATTTATCATCAATACGAAGAAGGATAATTAATGAAGTGAACATGAATAATACTTTGGATTTAAGTAAGATAATATAATAGTTGAACTTTATTTTTTATGACATATTTTATTTTAATTATAAGATTAAAATGTCGTACCCTTAGAGCATATTCAAAAGATATGTCAAATATAGCATGTCAAAAAAATTTTTGATGGCTGATGTGGCAAATTGAATACAAGTGCTAAATCTTCTTCTTTTTCAATGGATGTGTCAAATATTTATTTTATTATTTGATTGGACCTAGAGTTACATTAACTATTAAAAAATAACCAAAAATTAGTTTTAGTTTGTATTTTATTGGTTGTTAATGGGACCCATGCATTAAAAAATTAAATTAAATATATTTGACTCCTTCTTTGTTTGTCGTAAAAAAGGCAACTAGAAAGCAAGAAGTCAAATAACTCACATGCCATATCATATATGACATATCCATTGAAGAACACTTGAATGTCTTTTAATCTTATTTAGCATATTTGACATATCATTTAAAGATCATCTTATGAGTCAAGCTTTATCGAAGAAACCGAACTTGAGCTAAACTAAAGTTATTTCATAAAAATATACCACTGCTCAAGCTCCACTCATTTTTCTAACGAATCTAATATTTTATTCTAGCTCATCTTGTACCATTTAGGAACTAAGCCCGAGCTCGAAAAAGCCAAATACAAACCGAATATGAATCAAACTCAAATGTATCTAGTCATGTATAGCCCTAACTTTATCCAACTTGTATTTCACCTTTAAACCCGAGGTACCATGTTTGAATTTTCTTCTCCCTAGTTTAATGTAGATATTCTATCGTTTGTCCAAAAAGAAAATCTAAGAAGAGAGAAGGGATTTTATTGATCTAATATTCTAGTG